GGTCAGACGGCCAGGGCTTAACTAGAGCAGAGTGGACATGAACATGTTTAGACTAAAACTTTATATTCATGTAAGTGTAAGAGGTCCTGTTGTGGTGTTAGACTGGTTTAAACATGAAATGTTTTTCTTTTTCAGTTGGCATTGGGCATGTTCCCCTACCCACAGGTGAGTACTGTTTTTTAATATTTATATATTTTTTTTCTCCATTATTTTTCACTAAATACCCACAGGTGAGTACTGTTTTTTAATTTTTTTCTCCATTATTTTTCACTAAGCAATTTAGGTAAATTAATTTAGAATTTACAAAAAAAATATGTCATTTGAAATCACATAACCTTAGTGTTTATTTTTATTTAACAATTCATACTTTCAGTATAGTGTTTATAATTTTTAAGTAATTTTTTTTTTCCACTATGAAATATGTGGAAACTCTTTGTGTTGATAAATGTTCCACTAAACTGCACGAGGTCACCGTCCTGCTCAGATGCGATGTCTGCCTGTCAATCCTATTAAGTCTTCATTAGTTTCTAAGATGGGTTTATCTGCGCAGGCCTTATCTGAGCAATCTGGTAACGGTGACCTGAGGTGACCTCCAGAGGTCATCATGAAGATCATGTCAGAAGGAAGACTTTAAATTAACGTTGGTTCTCAGGTTCTCCAACATGGAACCTCTTCTCCTCCAGCGTGAATAATGCAGCGCTGGTCACTGGTCAATGTAATGAACCTTTGTGGTTGGTTAGAAAAGCACAGTACGGTGTAACCAGGATTAGCTGTGCTGCAGCTAACAGAGAGTGAGCTAGGTTTACGTAAAAAGGAAACGTGTTGTGTCACGTGTGGAGGTCATTTTCAACTATTGACAGAGGCCAAACTGGTTGATTGATCGTCAATTAATATTGTATTTTTGGTTTAAATTGATAGATTTTTCTTTTCTTCATCCTTTTTATTTACTGATGCCTCCGATGATGATGTCAGAAACCAATCACAGTGTTAGTTTGGTGAAGGTGGAGGACATTCTGGACGGTTCACCAGTCCAACACAGGGACACATGTAGAGACAAACAACCGTTCACACTCATATTCACAATTATAATCCAATTGAGATGAAAGAAAGAAACCGATCATGTGAGGTTTCTGGAGTACCAGGAGAAAAGAGCACGTAAACAAACTGTATATTTACAAGTACACGTAAGGCTTTGCTGTGGTTGGCTGCAAATATCTTTCAAAACAATCTTGAATTTTACCTTATGTAATTTCAACATCACTCACCATAGTGAGCCTATCAGAGCAGACTAAACTCTGTAGAGCAGTGAAGATGATTGAATATTGGAGGAGGGTCCAGTCAACGCAGCTCTGTTTTGTTCTGCCTTGTGGTCGAGCCCTAACACGTCAACACATTCACAGCTTTTTACTTTACACTTTTGATCTGATAATCCATTCATAACCGTTTGCCCAATGAACAAAGGAGAATGAAAGTACAAACTGTGCCGTAAAACAACATCCACCACGACACACTTGGGCTAATCTAGAAACAAAACAAGAGCGTGATTGACTTCAGACTGCTGAGGACATGTTCTGTTTCCTTGATTGTGACGATCGTGATATCAAATGTAAATTGAATTGTCAAATATAACAAATACTTCCATTTATAGTTATGACAGCCTTACTCATCTCAGTGTTAATTTTCCCCCAACTCCATATGGCACTGAAGACAGTTCACCTGCAGGCTGTATATGAGAGCGGCGTGTCGACAGGGCCCAGATCCAGCTTGTCAGGCGCAGCCAGCCAAAGTCCTGGGGCCTAAGTTGTCAATTTTACAGACGCTGGCACAGCTGTCTGTTCCAAAGCTCTGCCATACTCCACAGAAAACAGTTTCCCTCCGACTCAGAAGTTAGAGAAGGTAACGGAAGATTGGGAGAGAACCAACGGCTCTTAGGACTAATACTTTGGGATTGTTGGTTTGTTGGTTTTTGTAGATTATCGTCTTAAAGCTAACGTGCAGTTGCCGGACCTGAGAGCTAATTTTTTTAGTAGAAAAGTTGTTACGAAAAAATTGGGTCATTTTTTAAATAATGAAGTTTCAGCTTAACAGATGAATCATGGCATTTATTCCATACATCTATCCATCCATCTATTTTCTATCACTCAATCCTTTTCAGGACCATGGACAGGTCTCCTGTCCACATAAGGGCCACATAGAAAGACATAGAACCTCTGACGTTCACAGTCGTCACCACCCAACAAACTCATACCTGCTTTTTCCTTAAAACTTAATTCTAAAGAAGTGTTTTTTGTTTTTTTTCTGAATGACCTTTTTTTATACCCATCATGTCTCGTTTCATTCCTTTTGTGTTCCTGCGTTCCTGCGTATGCACAGTGCTGTTCCCACCTCCTGTTTGTCAGGATTGGTGACGGTCTCTTTAATTTCATTTCACCACATGCAGGGATTCATTGGTATTCTTTGTCAGGAGTTAATGACGTTTTTTTTTTTTTTTGGTCTTTTTTTCACGGTTCGCTTTGAAATCTTTGAAGACGGCCAACTTGACCTGATGTGTGTGCAGCTCCCAGTGCTGTAGCTTCTGAAAGATTTGTTGTCCTTTTGTGTTCCCGGTCATTGTTTTGATGTTGTATGAAATTCATATTCATAAACTCACAAAACTGAATGAATCACTAGGTGGAATTCCACGTCAGGGTTTTTATTCAAGCATATTTAAAATGGACAGTGAACAACAGGTGACCCTGAGAGACCCTTTTTTTTTTTTCCTAGAATTTGTTTTTGAATCATGTTTGTTTGTGCAAATACAGAGTGGCCAGATTAGTGTGTGTTGCTTTTAATCATAAACTTCATAGGTACCGTAGTGTAGTGGTTAGCATGCCTGCCTTGCAAGCAGAGAGTCTTCGGTTCGCTTCCCAGAGTAACTGTGCTGTTAGCACAAGAGTTTTTTGGGGCAGCATTGGTTTAATAAACAAGCTTAAGTCCAGAAGATTTCAGGTTGGACTCCACCAGCTGCCAAGTTACCACTGAGATCCCCTGAGCGTGGCACTTAGAGCTGCCCCCTGCTGACTGTGGTGATGGGTAAAATGTTGAGGTCACGTTTTGTTGTGTGCAGTGGTGTGTTGTGTCCGTCCCTTCCTAAAAATAATAACAGTCAGTTGATCAGTCAGAATATTCTTCTACTAGACATTTCAGGTGACCACATTTGAATTCTAACCCTCCCCACAGGGGGTGGCAACCCTCAGGTTGAAAATCACTGCACTTGCTGCTAACGTTTCCCATGTTGAGGAACATCAGCAGCGCTGCAGCCACAGCGCTGTTTTTGTCTTGTTCTTTAGGGGAGTTGTTAATGACCTAACAAAGACAAAAGGACAAAAAAGAACGGAGCAAGGACAAGACTTTTCTTCATCTCTCAGAAAAAAGTTTCATCTTCAGGCTGCGTGGGGCAGCGTGGAGCTGCTCTGGCTCATAACCAGCCCATGTTCTTTAGAGAAGTGTGCTTTTGATTAAAAAGGAAACCTCTCACATGTTTTGTCTTTCTCTTTTCATTTCTCTACCCTTGAAAAAGTCTCTCTTAAATCTTAAAAGTGCTAAATGTCTGTTTGATCTTTCACAAGTGTTTATTGAGTTTCCTCTTGAGAGGAATAGAAATAATTTGACATCATAAAGTGGATTTTTAAATCTTTTTATTTTCATGCTGGGCCTAATGTGATATGAAAGAAAAAATCAAAAATGTTCAAGTATTTCAAGAATTGACAAGAAAGCCATAAGTGCCATCGAGTCCCTTTTACCTTTGATAAAGTGAATATTTGCGCTGCAGTTATTACAGTATGAGGTGACGCACACACACAGTTACACATTTTTGGTGATACTTAAGAAACTTAATCCAAACAAATTCAATGAATGGAAGAATCCTTTGTCAATGAAACTCCAGAGTCGGACTATTTTCTATATAAAAAGTCGTATTAAACTGTTTTTACCCTCAGGACGTACAGATAATGAAATGTTTACCCGGCCGTCAGGCCACGTTGGTGAGAGACTCTTTAAAAGGGGCAAAAGAGAGAGGAATAATGCCATAATGTATCTTTGCTGTATTTGGTCAAGCTATCAAGTACAAGAAGAATAAGTGCTCAATTATGCTTGAATAACTTAGTCTCCAACTATCCAATTCCAACCCCTGGAGCAGCAAGCAATTTTGTCCTAGTAATTATTTCTGAACAAATTAGTTTTCCATAGTTGCCTTTAATGTGTCTGAATCAGGCAAAACTGGATATAGAGGCAGTTTAGGAGTCTCTTGGTATTTACAGGGAGTGAAAACCTGTATTTAATTGAGTGAATCAATAAGTGCTCTAATGCACTGTCAAAAGAGCCAAAGAAATAGGCAATTTATTTACCAGGAAATATTAGACATTTAGCTGTGCCACTTCAGTTCCAGGCCTTTGTGTAATTTAGTCTGAAAAAAAAGGTCTGGCATGACTTGATTAAAGGAAAAGTTTTAGTGAATGTAGACCTGAAAAAGGTAAACATCGCAGATTCACTGCGTACTTTGAATGCACCTCAGAGGAGAGCATCGTTAACGTCCCAGTGAAGTAGTTGTTGTTTTCATTGTGTTTGTGTATATATACATATGTATAAATATATACACAGATATATTTATATATTTGTGTATATATCTATATGTTTATATGTCTGTGTTTAAATCGATATGTGTATCAATACATAGAATACAGAAATATATATATATAAATATATGTATATATTTTTGTGATATATATAAATATATGTATATATGTTTGTGTATTTACATATATACGCACACGTACATATATGCTCCAACATGTAGCTGAGTGCTGTGTTATATATTTATATATTTGTGTGTATGTACATATATGCACACATACATATATTCTCCAACATGTAGCTGAGTGCTGTGCTGTACAGTTTCAAGCATTTCTGTCCATGTTCTGTCTTTGGTCGGACTTTACTGTCACTTTTCATTCCAGTGAAAACATGTATGAAAGTTTTATATTTATATTTATATTTCATATTCTCTCCTCCTCCCAGTCAATGATGCACCTGTGTAACAGACATACTGTCGGTCCTCATCACTGACCCCACTCTCGTTGTCTGTAACACTCCACATCCAAGCGCTCTCCATAACCTGGAGGGCAGTAAAAGTGCTACTTGGAAAATTAGCGCCAGTGGATCTTTAACCCCATTCTCCACAAATGGGAGGACGGCCATTAAAATCAGTGTCTTTTCATTATGGAAATGATGTTATCGCATACTCACAAATTGCCAAAAGAAAAGCGATAATTTTCTCCGAGTGATCATAATGTGTCCGAGTGTGTTGTCTTGATTATGACGCACTAATTACCCTCTCTCTGTCTGTCTTGCCCTGCAGATCCAGAAAAACCAAGGCTCTCTAATGGTAAGTGGGTTTTTTTATTTCGGGAATAAGGACGAGAGGAATGAACGTGCGGGTCTAAGTGACTCCTGGTTAGCTGCCTTACTTGAACAAATAAACGACATACTTACAGTTGATTGCATTTCTGTGATGAAATATAAGATTATGCTTAAACTGCTGGTATTACATTAGTTGCCGTAATGGAATCATAAAAACATTCATGGGTTGAGTGATGGCTTTTCCTGAGCTCGCTGCAAATGATTAAGTGGAATTATTTTCACTTGATTTTTCTTATTGCCTAGAAATTTCATGCCATTATTTCTTTTAATCTCTTCACGTCTCTCCTCTTCCAGCCTCTCCAGTTACTACAGTGCATCGTTGATGAGGTGAGTCGTCGTTGCCGTCGTCGTCGTCGTTGTTGTCGTTGCCGTCGTCTTATGTGCTTTTGCGTCTAAAGTCAGTCCTAATGGCCCGGAAAGCTTATATTTTGTTTCCTAATGAAGCAAACCAGTCAGGCGGCTTTGCTCCCCATTCACTCAACCCTTTACCCTATGCAACCGCCCCGGGCTGTTCACATATGTGCACACACTCAGATACACACACACACACACACACGCACTCTTCTGGAGAGGCTGGACCTGTCATGCAACACACAAAGCCGGCACCAAAGCAGAAGAATTTAACTGTTGTACATGTGTTTCCACGGAGGAACCTGATTGGACAGAATATGAAGTCAGATCATCTGGTTATGGATTTATTATTATCATCATGGTATAGGACAGAACTCTACAAATAAAAAAGAAAACCATGCACGTGTCATAGGTCTCCCCTGATGCGTCTTAGTTAAAGGGACAATACGCACGTTTTTGGTAAATGATTTTTTTTTTTTCTTCTTGATTTTTCTTTATTGCAGTTCAAGTGTCCGAGGCCCTGAGTTTAGAGTAACGTTCCAGTGTGACAGATGAGATTTAGAAAACGATGACAGACACAGGCCTGGTCCTGGTTCCCTTTAATCCCTGAAGGCCACATCAATTCTCACAACGATGCAGCAGAGGAGAAGTTTTTATTCCGCACTGCACTTAGGTTTAAGAAACACAAATTAGAAAAAAAATATTTAAAAAAACAAATATGTTCAAACAGTAAATTATCTTCAAAGAAAATACAGACAGAGGGCAGTGTCACGGTAGATCACACACAACTGTACCTTTTTTCATTTTCACAATGCAGTAAATTCAGGTCAACACAGATAATGGAGGTGAGTTTCATCTGATCCTAATTTACTGAGATTTTATTTCCAGATAATTGGACTTTTTTTTGTCTCACTTATCTTCTTATGTAGATATGAACACTCCGTACGCGCCCGCCCCTCCCCCCCCCC